GGGAACCTGCTCGATACCATGAGAAAATGAACGAGAATGAATTGACTAAGGGAAAGTTGGGTACAAGTACAAACCCTAGAAAGCCGTACCCCATATGTGCTACCCCACTATAGCCTACAACAGCTATGTCATATATATCTGACAGGGCCCAAGGGCCTCATCAGCCGTCTCCTCGTACCTAAATTCAGTGACGTGTCTTTCAAATTCTTCCTTACTCTACCTTTACCCCCAACTCCCATCCCTCACAGATTTTGAGTCTGGACGCTCACAGACGGGCCCCATGGTCGAGTTGCACCGCCAAGAGTACCATCGCATTTTCAATGCCCACGCTCAAGTGCCCTTCGAGAAGATCACATATTTATTACAACGGCCGGAGCGGGAGCTGTTTGGTGTGAGATATGCCTTTCCGCTTATGCGGTTAGATGATCGCGGGAGACCAAGGCGTGTGGAGGGCTTGTCTTGGGGAGGAGCAAGATGCGGGAAGGCATTTACTCTACAACGCCAAGGAGGTAATGCCTTTCAAACATGCTACATAGCCGAACACGGGTGATGCTGTCTCACGATGACGTGTCGCCCCAACGCCCACATCCACTTATCATACCACTATTGCTGAAGTGCAGGTAATGCACACCGCGGTGCTCGTAGCGGCACTACGAACGATGGTGGGGTGGAGAATGCTACGGCTTCATCTCATCCTTCCGCGCCTCCTTTGCCCGTCGGGGGTGGTGGTGATGGCGAAGGCATACTCTCTACTTCTTCCGTGCCTACTCTGCCCGTCGGGGGTGGTGGTGATGTCGAAGGCATACCCTCTACTCCTTCCGTGCCTCCTTTGCCTGCGGGGGGTAGACATCATGCAAACGGCAGCATGTCATTGCCTACAGCGTCACCGAGCACGATGAATGGCATGCCAGAGGACAGGTGAGCAGTTGATTTACTACAAATTTGGAATTCATGTTACAACCTCATGAAATCATCTGGTCCCACTTAGGCTCTTAACACTTTCACGGCAACCATACGCTCACTATTTGTGTCCTTTTTCTATACCCCTCGTAAGGCCTGTTTGCAGCCATCCGCGCGCGAGGGCGCGCGGGACAGTCCCCAGGCATTGGCCTACATCACCAAGTGTTGATGATATCCCTGAGCAACGGGTATGTCTAGTCGAACCACGTACCGTTGTCGGGTTCTTCAAGGGGTGTCGCTTAGTGTGCTTGCATCAAAATACATGCGGAGGTGCTATGTCTCTCAGGTCGTGGAAGTTTTCTTGGGCTTCAGTTGGCATGTTTTGGAGATGCGATAAGTGTTCCCATGGTGTGGAATTCTGGTCGTGCACCAATCGAACCCTTGACAAGAAGAGAGTTGGGGTTGGTGCACGAGTGCCCATGCTACACTCAAAATATGTGGGAGCATTCGCGTTCGCTGGGATGGGGTATCAACAGATGTGGGAGTTCAGCCGCAATTTTGGCATTCCATGTCCTGACAAAAGCACGTTCTATCGATACCTTGGGGGCGATAATGGGTTATGGAAAACATCACTTAGGGAGGCGGATAAGTCGATGGCTTTGGTGCGGGAGGAGATGAGCAAACTTGACATTCCAGCTGAATACGTGACGGTGGATGGCCGATGGTCACATGTCCGAGAGGGTGAGTGGTGCACAGTGTCGTTCATAGACATACCGTCGCGGAAGATCTTGTACTGTGTAACAACACGTACAGGGGTGGATGATAAATCGTCGGTGCGATTGGAGCGGGTGGCATTCGACAGAGGGGTTGATGAGTTGAAGCTTTTGGGGTTCGATGTGAAGGGCATCATCTCGGATCAAGGGACCACGTTTAGAGGCGCTGCGGCAGAGCGAAAGCTGGATCATCAGGTGGATTGGTGGCACGTAAAGCGGACGCTGTACAATCTTTTATGCAAGGAGCTTCAGGATCAGGTGCGGATGGTTGTGGAGGTGGACAAGGCTAGCTGTGTCAAGGAGCTATGGTTGGCTAAGGTGGAAGAGTTAAAGCAGTGGTTGAGGACCAAAGGATTGGAGAAAGAGGCGAAGGGGACACTCAATCCATCACTTGTGAAGGCGGTGTGTGAAGCCATGGGTACCATTGCATATGTAAAGATGACCCCTGATGAAGCAAAGTGGAAGTTTCCTGAGTTGCGAAAAGTCCGGCGGCTAGGAGGAGAACGGGCGGCGGTAGATGTCCCAGTGGGATATGGTGAGGTGCGTCCTGATACTACTGGAGAGATGCAGCCCATCGTTCGAGATGCTGCGGTTGACGAGGCGGATGCGGGCGCAACCCAAGTTGATGTGCAGTAGGCGGATGTGGAGGAGTTATGGCAATACGATATCCATCCTGTGCGTGGTGCGAGACCATCGTCATTGGCTAGTTCTCTCATCGTGCACGCACATGCGGGTGCATGCAGTAACTTACGATTCATCGGCGGGACGACTCCGTGGGCTAACGATGATGAAGGTACTGGTATGAACGCTTTGTGAAACTTACTTTCCATGCCATATTCAGATTGGAGTACGCCGCTTGTTTCCTAAAATTGTTCATACTGCTCGTTTTGTCCTGACAGAGACGATGACTGGCTACAACAACGATGGTGCAGCGGGTGAGACCGACAACCACGGAAGTGACGTCGGAGAGAATTTGCCCCGTTGGACTGGGTGGCGAAAACGAAAACGTGGCGGAGATGAGATAAACGCCGGCGATGAGGAGAGTACGGTGGCGCACCGCTTCGCCTCGCATTTCTTCCATGTGATGATGCGTTGCGCGGCGCTGCTGAAAGCGGGCACCCCTATGACTCCCGAAGATGTGGCAAAGGAAATTGGGACGGCACCTAACCACTGGGCAGGTGACCACTCCGAGTGTGGACGGAACGGGAGTATTCCTCCAAGGTGTGTTACCGAGAAGTGGGGAAGGGAATGTGCACTTTATGAGCATGGATCGGAAACGCACAAGGCGGTTCTTACATGGTTCAAGAAACGGTGTTCGCCAGACAAGGTGAAACCCTATGTTCACGGAGCCAACAGTTCCATAAACGAGTCTTTCCATTCCCTGATCATCAAATACGCTGCTAAGCGTATCAGGTTCAAAGGTAGTCTTGAGGCACGAGTGGGGCTGGCTGTCCTGCATTGGAATAACTCGATGGACAGGCTGGTCACATCGTATCGCACTCGTGTACGGCAAGTAACTCGGGTGCGACGGGGCAACAAGGATCGAACCCTCGGACCTATGGATTGGTCTTGGGTTGATCGGATTATGGAGGACCGGCAACGATCGCTGGGGTTTGGAGTCGACGATGAGATTATGGAGACGGCCCCAAAGAGGCAGGCGCAACATCCTGTCGACTTACCTTGTGGAGGGCGACACCCATCTGTTGTTGGGCCGGTTACTCCTGTGCGAGAAGGTGGCATAGTCCGCGGCCTTACTTCGACGCGCGGTGCTGGGCGACGTATTTTATGTAAGATCCGAACCACATTCTCGCCAACCCTTACTCTTGTCTTATGTAATATATTTTAACGCTCCCCTCTTGCGATCATGTTGCAGGTGATGCCACCAACCATCCTCGGTAAACGTTTTGGAAACACTTACGCTGACGCGGAGGGATCTAAATCACCATTTTGTCCAACACGCCGCGTCAATTTAGATGTCGGCGATGCCGGTGAACGCCTTTGAGGGTAATAGTGCCTATCCTTGTCCATATCACTGCTGCCTTCACCCATAACATGTGCATCTCTCGCTTTGCCCTCTATCTTCACTTTCAGACCCGGTGTGCCCTCTCCCAGCCTTGTCCCATGCTCCCATCCTACTCCCTTCAATGCCCATCTTACGCCCTCATGCTTCAATTCCCCAGTCTAGTCATTCTAAACCCTCCACCTCAGTCAATCATAGAGCATTATTTTCCCCTCTCATTCCAACCTTGTTCTCTCAGCTCTTGGACGTGCTTTTGGGGAAGGATACTGGTGTGGAGTTGGTGCCATACGAGTAGAGGGCCATGGTGGTGTCTCCGCGCCTGACCCCAAAGGAGGCCTTGGCACCCTTTGATGTCAGCCGAGTCGGGGACCCCTCCGAGCACAACCTCAACCACCATTAGGTGCGAGTGCCATCAGTCATGCGAATCAACGGTACATGCGACAGCGTAAGTCAAGTGCAAACCATTGATTTATCATTTGCCATGAGGTATCTTTCGTAAACCCTTCGTTCGTCTTTGTCGACTTAGCATGCATTGTGATACTACCCAATTATCCCCTTTGCAATAAAATACAGGCTGCTCCTACTCCATCCGGTTCCATGTCTTCTTGGTTCTAACCTTTGATGCATACTACAACCACTGATTTATCTTTTTGTGCTCGTTTCACTATCATGGCACTAATGTTGCCCATGCCTCACACCCCTCCCCACACATGCGTTCAACCAGCCGCATGGACTATATGTCAACAGCTTTCAAGGTCAGGAGTGGCCCCTTATTGCTCCCAACGTGGTGCTCTCATTACCATTCGTCTCTTTCTTTGCTCTACTTCTCCATGTTTTGCTCCACTGAACTGCAGATCCATTTGGTGTCCGGAACATTTTTGTGTTTGTTGGAAGTTTTCACCGCATACAAGACATTACCACCACACGATTGAGCACATGTAGCCTACAGATACTACTCCTACCTGCATGATTTTGGCCGCAACAGGTTGCACCTTCTAAAGCAAGCACGGTAGTTTGATGTTTTTGCTCATGACTCAGCATAATTAGCACGCGTGTGTGTCAAGTGGCTCAAGTCACAGCAGGCGTATACATGTATAAAGGATTTTACATTGAATTTTGGAATCCACATTTATGCGAATGAGCACTTGTCCACCAAACATGTTTGCCTCAATGGTCCTGGTTTCAAGAATGGCACAACATAAGCTCTCCTGCAGTGAGAGTCAACGGTGGTAAAATTGAGTGCCATCATATGGTGTACGAGCCAACAGGTGGTGTTGGAGGTGCACAACCCCCGGTCTCCATCCACATCAGTGCATTGTCCTCTGTTGAGAGAGGAGGTGTGGTGGCGATGAGCTTGGTGACAGTTGCCACACATGGGGAGATGGTGAGGGAAAGGGAGGCAGAGGGTGGGGGGAAATAGGAGGGAGGGTGAGGAGGGGCAGGGAAGGCAATGGTGGTAGTAGGGGATAGGTATACGGGGAAGGGGGTGAGGAAGACGAGGGACAGGGAGAAAGGCGATAAGGAGAAGGGAAACAGAGAGAAGGGGGACAGAGAAAATATGAACTGAGAGGACGGGAGGATGAAAGGACAGGGGCATGTGAGGACAAGAGGACGAGAGGACAGGGGGACGAGAGGTCAGGGGGACGGGGGGATGAGAGGACGGGGGGATGAGAGGACGGGGGGATGAGAGGACAGGCGGATGAGAGGACGAGGGGATGAGAGGATGGGGGGACGAGAGGACAGAGGGATGAGAGGACGGGGGGATGAGAGGACAGGGGGATGAGAGGATGGGGGGATGAGAGGACGGGGGAACGAGAGGACAGGGGGATGAGAGGACGGAGGGATGAGAGGAGGGTGGACAGGGGGATGAGAGGACGGAGGGATGAGAGGAGGGTGGACAGGGGGATGAGAGGACAGAGGGATGAGAGGACAGGGGGACGAGAGAACGGGGGGATGAGAGGACAGAGGGATGAGAGGACAGAGGGATGAGAGGACAGGGGGATGAGAGGACAGGGGGATGAGGGGACAGGGGGGTGAGAGGACGGGGGGATGAGAGAACGGGGGGGTGAGAGGACGAGGGGGTGAGAGGACAGAGGGATGAGAGGACAGAGGGATGAGAGGACAGAGGGATGAGAGGACAGAGGGATGAGAGGACGGGGGGATGAGAGGACAGGGGGATGAAAGGACAGGGGGATGAGAGGACGGAGGGATGAAAGGACGGGGGGATGAGAGGACGGGGGGATGAGAAGACGGGGGGATGAGAGGACGAGGGGATGAGAGGACGGGGGGATGAGAGGACAAGGGGATGAGAGGACAGGGGACAGGGGGATGAGAGGCCGGGGTAATGAGAGGACTGGGGGGGTTTTCGCGGGAGGGGAGGGAGGCCGGCGGGAGGGGGGATTCCCGGGCGACACGAAGGGCGATGGCAGGGGAAGCGTGGGCGACGGTGGGGGGAAGCGTGGGCGACGGTGGGGGGAAACGTGGGCGACGGTGGGGGGAAACGTGGGCGACGGTGGGAGGAAACGTGGGCGATAGTGGGGGGAAACGTGGGCGACGGTGGGGGGAAGCGTGTACGACAGTGGGGAGAAGCGTTGGCGACGGTGAGGAAAAGAGTTGGCGACGGTGGGGAATAGAGTTGGCGACGGTGGGGAAAAGCGTTGGCGACGGTGGGGAAAAGCGTTGGCGACGGTGGGGGGAAGCGTGGGTGACGGGGAGGAAGCATGGGCCACGGTGGGAGGAAGCGTGGGCCACGGTGGGAGGAAGCGTGGGGGACGGTAAGAGGAAGCGTGGGCGACGGTAAGAGGAAGCGTGGGCGACGGTAAGAGGAAGCGTCGGTGACGGTGGGCTGAAGCGGGGGTGACGGTCCTGTGAAGCGTGGGCGATGAGCGTGTGTGAATGTGGGGGGAGGCGTGCGCGATGGTCAGCGGAATTGTGGGTGCACCCAGGGAGCAGGAGGCAGCGACGGTAAAGGGGAAGCGTGAGCGAAGGTGAGGGAAAGGGTGGGGGGAAGCGTGGGCGTGTGCGTAGGGTACGCAGAAGGCGAATGTGATGTTTGAGGAAGGGCGATGCCAGGGCGACCGAGTGAGGCAACGCGATACACCGTGGCGTTGCTGTCATACCGAGGCGCTACGACTGGAAAATAAGTCGGGGTGTCTACATTGGCCGAGAGATTGACGGCGGAGGCGGAAGGTTGGGGATACTTTCGCGACGCACTAGCGTGTGCTTCTTTCTAAGCCTGAGACTACTACTCGCTGCAACGACACTTGGAGAGAACGTGGCGTTTGCGTTAGAGGAAACATAATGGCGGCGGCTTGGTTGCAACTAAAGTCGCCAAAGGTCCCTGATTCGTGTCTTTGAACAGAGCACTCAGACTGAAGATTGCCCTTATGTGACGGGAGAACGACTACTAGCGTGCCTCATAATATGCGTGTCCAAGCGTTCCCGACGGTTTTCAAGTTTACTCAAGGTGAATAGTGCTTTCCTCAGGCGTTTTTCCTGCTTGTTGTTCCAGTTTATCGCTGGCCAATCACGGATCACCTCTGCTGCTTGAAACCGACGGATTGTTCTGAACCAGCTGGTAACATGGTTATTCACGAAATCAACTTCAAGAAACTTGAATTTGAAAAATACCATGTAAAACTTGGGCTTTAAAGCTCGCGGCCCAAATTGCGGGGCGCGCTGGCCAAGCTTATTAAGGTTGACGGGGGTAATGTTTTGAGTGCTGTTTGGGTTGCGAAGGGTGGTTATGAGAAGTGAGATGCAATCTGATTGGCCAGATATTTTTTGTCGAATGGGAGAGCAGGGAACAGCAGCAATATGCTGAGGGCGTGTCCAGCTCGTTCATTTCGGGAAATCTAGTACCTCCTCACGATCCGGGGCTCAAAACTGAACACTGTACCTATAAACGAGAGTGCCTTGCTCGAGTCCACCCTTTCTGTCTTTCTGGCGCGCGGACACCATCCCCCACACAGACTTCAACAGTGCAGGGGCCGTGTGGCAACCAAGGTAAACAGTTCCCTCGTCAACCAAAGCGTTAGAATTTTCGCCAGGCCAACACTTCCACTATAGGTTTTGGCGAGTGTCAGGCGGCACATGCGAAATCAAGCTCGCGATACGATGGGCACTTACTGTAGTGGGCAGGACGCGGCTCTGTACCATTGTTCGATGCGCACGCTGATTCTTGTAACGTGCGTCACACGATTCGAGGTACGTGCAGGGGGTGTGCCGTATCGTGAACGGGAGCTGATCATGTCTGGCATTTTTGTAAAACTCAGTGTTACAACTCAAATTGTGGTAACTGAAGGGCTTTACGAACAGTAAATGAACTAGCTGGACACCCCCTGATTGCAATTTGGGACTCTCGAAGCAAACCCAGGTTGCTCCCAGGGGTTTGCCGTGCCAACGAAAACCCCAAGGGTCTAGCGCGAAACTGGGCGAAAGCAAACAGCCCAACTCCCAACAAGTCAACTTCTTCTCCCGCCACCCAAAGGTCAACCTTACTAAGGTTGAACAATTTGGGCCGCGAGCTTTAAACCCGTGTGAAATCTCACCTCTCTTTGGAAACGCTTGGATTTTTACCCTGAAGTATACAAGGGACTGACAAATGCCTCTGTCAGGCCGTGCAAGGCTCTGAAACATTTTTTTGTCGGCAACGGGCACTCCATGGATGCTTCGCGATCGCCGAAGTGCGGTTTGAGCATGTGTCATCCTCGCAAGCTTTTCGCATATTGGAATGGGTGGTGGCACGAATACCTCCTCCTCGCATTTGTGCTCGACGAGACACCTGGTAGCCCTCTCGCGAAATCTTTGCGACTGTTGCTGTTCAGGTTGGGTACTGCACGCGGCTCGCAGGCACATCTCGTGGAAGTCTGGGAATCACACAATTTATCCCGCTTGATCAGTTTCCCGCCCATTTTTGTCACTGTGGCAGGAACAGTCCAAGAGTGTCAGCACACGGCCAGAATCGTCACCTAAAAGTAGTGGCCGATGCGCGCCACGAGTAGATGGGCCTGAAGGGCAATTAGAGCTTTAGAAACCATGACGGTGAGTGTCATGAAATGCAGCGACGCTTATGTTCCCACGACGGGAGCTGATACAAGCTACGTCAGCGACGGTCGGCTTACGTCTCGTGTGCAAATAACTACCAACCAGTCGTTACCGAGGGAGTCGGCGACTGAAAAGCCATCACCTCGCGGCCCGCCATTTCGCGTGATCCGGTTAGCGGCACTACTGCTGCTGCTCGTCGTCGCTGCGTGCTTTATATCTCAAGGACTGGCCACGTTCCGTATTACGACATTCCGAGTCGCCAGTTTCAGCATTTCTCCCGACCATGCCGTCCGAAGGCTTTCGGACTATGCCAATAGCGAGGATAAGAAACCTATATCGAATAGCCTGCTGGAATATGAAATCTTAGTGCGCACAGAGCCCGTCAGCAACGCTAGTAATAAAAACGTTTCTAGCCCGGCCGGCTTACCCACACCCGTGGTTACTCCATCGCGCCAGGTACCTCCACAATCAAGCTCCGTACAGTCACGCGCCGCGCATAGTACACCCTCGCTGCAAGCAGCGGAACGGATCGGCAACAGACACGTAGCCGGGCGTTTCTACATGGTAATCGGAGGCGGCGACTATTGCGTGGGCGAGTCGCACTGGACGTGGAGCTTCCTGTGCGCCGCGGCGGAGGCGAAGGCTCTTAATAGAACGCTGGTGGTGCCGGATCTTAGATGCATCAGCAAGGAGCATTCGTTGACGGGGAAGAAGGAGGAGAAACCTTTGGGTCTATACTACAATATGGAACACATGATGAGGTGAGGCGAGTGTTTTTCGATAGTTTTTTTAGATCCGAAAAGTCTACACTACAATATGGAACGCATGATGCGGTTTAGCGTTTCCGTTTTGTCGACGGGTGTTTTTTCGAGAATGTACACTACCTCCCCAAGCCTCCCTGTTCCCATCCTTCGTTCGCTTCGCATTTCCCCCCTCTTCCCGCGTCGCTCAGCCGGCAGCCAATGATATTCTCAACCACATTCCGGCAGCGCTTCGGATCCCTAGACCCGGAGAAGCTGCAGCAGCGGGGCAGGATGCGAGTAGCAGAGTATAAACCCTTTGCGGCGACTGCGTGGGTGAGGGAGAAGACAAGGGACGTTCAGCTTGTTGTGCGCAGGCTTAAAGAGGAGCAGTTTGTGTATCAGATCTGCAAAGTACCTGAGAATAAGGTGAGGGGTGGGGGGGGGGGGACGTGGAGCGGGGGGGAGTCGAGGGGAGAAAGGGGAGAAGAGGGGGAAGGAGGGGAGGATGCGGAGCGGGGGAGATGGGTAGGGGGGTGATGGAAGTTACTTGCATGTCCGCTATCACCATCATTCCTTTCGTTCCCATCTACCCCTCCCCCTTAATTCTTCTTCTCCCTCCCCTGCCAGCAATTCACTGCTATCACCCCAGCCCTTCATCTCCTGTCGCATCCACTCTCTCCCTGACCTCTCCTCTCGCTTCCCCTTTTCCATCCATCTCACTTGTTAATGTTTTCAAATGTGATATACAACCATCTCCCTCCATCTCACCTCGACCGTTCCTGTGTGCGCGACACGCATAGAAACCCTGCCCAACATCTCATCCCCTTTTAACCCTTCCCAACCCATCCACTTCACACGCCTCAGAAGCTGTTAAAGCGGGACTTGGAGCTGCTGTGGCGCCCGAAAGCGCTGGCGAAACTCTCCAAGACCATATCAGCATCCATGGGGTGGAACTACGATGCGGTTCATGTGCGGCGCGGGGACAAGGTGAATCCGTCCAACCGCAAATACTGGCCCAATCTCGACCGCGACACACGCCCGAAGGCGTAAGCAGGGGTGAATGAGGCTGTACGGATGCCGGGACTCGTTGCGAGCTTGCACGATGCATAGAAGTTTAGTGTGCTTTGCTTCTTGCATATGGGCAATGAGTTTATACCTCAGGTGCTATGCCTCACATGGTGGTCTAAACACGTGTGCCATTTCTCCCCCTAAACGCACGCATGCTTTTTGATTGTGAAATTCACCCTGTCATGCAAACTCCCTCTCTTCCCCCACCTTCTCTTTTCCGGCTTGGACACACAACCTCCTCCTGCCCAGCCTCCTAAAGACCCTACCCAAGTTCATAAAGCCGGGGCGCCACGTGTACATAGCGTCGAACGAGCGCACGCCGGGCTTCTTCAGCCCGCTCGCCTCGCTCTACAAGATCCACGTGCTCTCTGACTACCGCCACCTCTGGGCGCCGGGGAGCAAGTTCCGAAAGGACCTTAAAGCCCTCCTCCGGTCTTTGAACGTGACTACAGTGAAGCCGGAGTTGGATGCTTATATGGAGGTAAGAGTTTGGTTTTATCATACTGGTTTATTTGAGGTGGCAGGCAGGTTTTTACTTGGTTTTTTTCCCCTACTTATGGCGTTGCTTTCTTGCCTTGTGCAGTGGACTGTGGAGTTAACTGTGCTGGGTAATGCTAAGAAGAGAGTAGAGACGTTTAATGATCTCACCAGCGATAGCAAGAATGCTATGATTCGAAATAACAAGACTCGAGCCAGTTGAGTTGAACCCGAGAAGTGCTGCGACCGAAGACAAGTGAGCCCTAGTTCGCTTCTGGCCTTCATTTCGATTGTAGCTAAGCATTTGAAACATGGTTTTCAGCCCTGATCTCATTCTGGCTGCCAAACACAGATGTTGTGTTTTGGTGATTTTGCCTTGTGCATGAGCACTAGCTTAAGTGAGAGCTGGTTTTTGTCAAAAATACACACGCTGGTATCTGTTCTGTTTATACTGACTTCTTAAGGCTTAGCCTTTACAAGTCTTGGTACGTAAACTCATCGAATCATAACTTACTACCGTATAATTATGGCACCCTTACTGAGTGTAACCTATCTCGCAATAGCGTGTCTCGTATCATTGGTAAGATCAGGGAAAGTCTCCACTCCCTTCCTTCCCTGTCTCAGTAAAATGTCATCCACTATCCACTGAGAACGAACCGATCAAGGAAAGACAAGGAGAAACAAGCACACAGACAATGGGATGAGCATGAGCTGAAGTTACTGCACGCACAACATGCTATACCGTAACATGCATGCAAGGAAAACCATACATCTTCTAGCATACACGTGATATAACCTTACGACAGGGTACCTCTAAGGGATGAGTTGAGACATGTGTAAAATGTATCCGTTCCTTATGCCCCGGTTCCAGCAAACATGAACACCACACCTTACCACATCTGAATGAGTTTTTACTGCCAAACCCACACCAACCATGTGAACTCAGATGCAGGTGGGTGAACGTTCCCCCTCACCCCACCTTCTCCCACCACCAACCCTCCCCACTCTCACACAACCCCCAAGCACCGCCGCACCCACCCACCTGCATCTGAGCATCAAACACCGGTCCGGTCTCTCCGTGTATAACCCGCTGTCTCTGCATGAGCTCCCAGCACGCGTTGTACCAGTCACTGCCGGGCGCCCAGAGGTGGCTGTAGTCGGAGAGCACGTGGATCTTGTAGAGCGAGGCGAGCGGGCTGAAGAAGCCCGGCGTGCGCTCGTTTGACGCTATGTACACGTGGCGCCCCGGCTTTATAAACTTGGGTAGCTTTTTCAAGAGGCTGTTGAGGGAGGAGGGAGGGACGGAGTGTGGGAGTGAGAAAGTAAGGGAGAGGAGAGGGGAGGGGTGGAGAGAGGGAGGGAGTCGTTTGGGTGTGGGAAAGGAGGGAGGGAAAGAGGGCGGAGGGAGGGAGAGTGGGAGGGAGAAAGAGAGGGAGAGGGGGGGGGGAGGGAGAAAGAGAGGGAGAGGGGGGGGGGAGGGAGGGAGAGAGGAAGAGGGGGAGGGAGGGAGAAGAAGGATAAGGCGTGGGGGACACGAGGGCGCTCAAAAGAGTTTAATGAGCTATTTCAAAGAGTTTTCAGTAGGATTCCCAGTAGGTTCTTCAACACGAGAACCTCACACATATGCCCATGCTTCACTGAACCTACTAACGCACCACAGCAACACCTTCCCATTGTAGCACAGTAATCCCACCCTTCCCAACCCTCGTGTATCCCCACACTCTCCCCTCTCCCTCTCTCTTGTCGTTCTCCCCCCCTCTCACTCCACCCTCCCCTTCCCTCCATTCCCTCATGCCACACGCACGCATCAGGGCGGGTATCTCGGTCGAGGTGCGGCCAGAAGCGGCTATCCAGCTTGTCTCCTCGCCGCACGTGCACGGCATCATAGTCCCCGCCAATGCTGCGCCGAATGGCCTCTGCCAGCCGCCGCAGGTACATGGGACGCTGGATCAGGTTGTAGTTGCGCACCAGACGCTTCTGGGGAGAGGGGAAAGGGGGGGGGGGGGGAGGGGAAAGGGGAAGGGGGGTAGAGTGGTTGAGGTTTAAGGGGACGGAAGAGGGTTAGAAAGGTCTGTTTCACATGTTGATTGATGCAGGTACTTGTACTCATCTCCTCGCTCTGCCTTCTCTCTCCCACCCACCCACCCACCTCATCCCCTCCCACGCACCTCACCTTCCCCCCCCCCCCACGCACCTGATCCCCGCTTTCAGAGCACATCTGAAAGGCGAACCATGCGTTGCGCACGATGAGAGTGGCACTGCGCGCATCCTCGCTCTCCAGCCTGCTCGTGGGCTCGCTCCCCTCAAACACACGCACGCTCATCTTGTGCCTCTCCCTCAGACTCGTCACGTTCAGTGGCCCAAATTTGACCTCGAACTGGAGGCTCGGCATTATGGGCTGGAAGCTGCGTGCGGGGGTAAGCGGAGGAAGGGTTGGTTGGAGGGAGGGGAGATGAACGGGCCACAAAAAAGACGCCATTCCTTTTGTCTTCAACCTCCTCTGCTACCTCCTCTGCTACCTCCTCTGCTACCTCCTCTATTTCCTCTATCTTCTCAACATCCTCCCCTCCCTTGTATCTTTTTAAGGTTGATGGTTCCAGCATCATGGCTCATCAAACATCACGATCCGGAAATCATACGAGAACGGCATGGGGGCGAAAGGCCTAGTGAATAAGGAACGTGAAGGGCCAACCACGAAAGTGACGTGAAAGGAACGTGAATGGGCTCGCGAGAAAGGAACGTGAATGGGCACGCGAGAAAGGAACGTGAATGGGCATGCGAGAAAGGAATGTGAATGGAGCGTCGTCGACATGGAGTGGATTCTCAGGAAGTTCAGGAGTGAAGGGCTGAACACCCGTTGCTTACACAGCACGAGCTTTGAAAACCTGGAGTTGGCTTTTGAGTAGAAAGTCATGCGAGCATGGGGCATAGGTGTAAGGCTGTCGCTTCTACTCTGGATCTGGAACTCCTAAATAGAACCTTGGCCTTCTGAATCAGCCAATCAGCCCTGTGATTGTCGAATCTTTCTGCGCCACTTAACTAATAGGCCACCAGTTCTCAACCACCAATGAACAAATATCAGTTACCAGTTACCAGTGACCGGTGAAAAAAGGACAAGCAATCATACCGCGGCCAGTGGTCCATGGCATAATACAGCACCATCGGTTTCTCCTCCGTCAGATGCGACAAAGTATGCCGTGCGTCCAGGCACCTGGCCATGGGGATGATGAGCGTGCGGTTGAGAGCCTTCGCCTCCGCCGCAGCGCACAGGAAGCTCCACGTCCAGTGCGACTCGCCCGCGCAGTAGTCGCCCTCGCCCGTCACCATGTAGAACCGCTCCGAACCCCAGCTTTCACCGCCTGCACCCCTCGCACTGCTTGCATCACCTGCACCGCCGCTTCCACCGCTTGCATTGCCCCCCTCACTACCGCCAGCACTGGCATTCGAATCGGCACTGGGATGGCCATGATAATAAGGACTGGGATTGGCATTAGTATCCTGGTCGGCAGAATAGCCATTAATCTCCCCATGATCCAGCCCTGCTGCGGGTGCTACAACAGCTTCTGAAGCGCGGATAGCGGCGGTTGTGGCGGATGCTGACCTGGATGCTGACCTGGATGCTGTGATCGCTGCCATAGAGAGCATCTGCTGCTGCTGCTGCTCTGGCTGCTGCTGCTGCTGCTGCTGCTGCTGATCCTGCTGCTGCTGCTGCTGCTGCTGCTCTGGCTGCTGCTGCTGCTGCTGCGCCTGTAGTACTAAGACCCTGAGTCCAGATGGCCCCTGTCTTTGCTGCTGCTTCTGCCGCTCATCCTGGTGCTGCTGTTTCTCTGGATCCGCATTGTCATCGTCCAAGCCGCCTGCGCCGATTCCAGTCCCGCCCAGGAGAGAGCCACCAGTGGCACCGCCGCCACCGCCGCCACCTCCGCGGCCCGGCTCGGGAGGATCGTCTCCCTCACCTGCGCTGCTCGAACGAGACGCGGAGGAACCTGGAGCCGTGCCGATTTCCGCGATTGCCGCCGTCCCTGCCGCACCGATCCGAGTCGTTTCTACCGATCCTATCGCCGCGTTTTCCGCTCCTTCAGCGACGAGATAGTGCGAGGGAACGCCCTGTGTGCGGCCGGAGAGAAGAGATTGGCCGATAAGGATCGCGGGAACGAGCAGCAGCAGCACGCGCCACGTGGCGAGCTTCGGAGATGTTAGCAACCAACCTGGGGATGAACCTACTAAAGACGACCCTAGAATTGCACCAGTATCTGAGACCACTAAACGGTTCGACAGGCGAAGGTCTTGCTTTAGAAGTTTACCCCTCGAGGCAACTGACCGTTGAAACGCCTCCATCAGAAACGCGCCTCGTCGCTCCTAGAAATACGGGGATCAAGTATACGCGGACCGTGACGGCGAGAGAACGAGCCTCGTTCCTGCTCTCTCTGATGGTTGTGGAGTGGATTCAAAAGGTGCATCATGATGGTTCCTGCTCTTTCTGATGAGATCATCTCTGAAGATGCACCTATTCAAAGGCCGAGACATCTCGAGGACAGGGAACGGACATATTATATTGTAGAGCCGACACGAGTCGATGGTGTGCAGAGCACGAAACTCATCCCCGAGTCAAGGTCGCAAATGATCGCAGAAAGTCGCAAGCGTGCGACGCTATTGTCTTCGACTTCAACTTGATTGTATCGGCAGATGAGCATCCCGTTACAACCATTCACCTGAGGTAGCATGGGCTGGTAACCAAGGAGCTCGGATAAATTCATAGTTATGAGTTGTGAGAAGAAGAGTGCGCACAGTGCAATATCGCATAGTTGTACGCGTATGAAGTGTCTCAGTAAGGATCTCGGCAAAATTTCTTACAATTGGGGAGAGCCTTGTTTCTAACAAAGATGAAATGGGATGGTGTAAGGAATATTCTCGACATTCCTTAGCGCATCCCGCAACATCGCGTACAGCAGCAGCCGTTGTTCGCCCGTTACTGCTAATGGGGCTTCGCCGACTTCGTGCGTGCTGTTTCACCAAACCTTGCACTGCTGGCCCGGCCGTGTCAGCCTACACTTCGGGACTAGCCCCAACCTCACTACAAGCGTAGCACTAGCTAGCTAGCGCACACCGCGTTACCGTTTGCATGTTTTGCGTATAAATATTCGCTCATATCTTCGCTCACATTTTGTACTCGTTTGACACTTAATGCAATCCTCGCGACCTCGATTTTTTGCACCCGTAACATTTGGTATCAGAGCCTTTTTATTTTCGGACCGCTCATCTCCGCACCCCAGGAAATCAACTTTTGATTTGTTCACTCGAAGGGACTCACGCACCTTAGCCTCTAGGAGCCGTTGTCCTCGCGTTCTCTCGTAAACGCGTGCAACCACGACTGCGCCTAAACTAAGCCGAGCCAACGCCCTTCGCAATGGCCGAGCACATCGACGTCACCACCCTCACGCAGGAGCGTCTGAACGAACTGGTGCAGCAACTTCCCGAAAGCTCTGAAGAAATCGCAGCACTGACGGCAGAACGCACGTCCCTGCAAAATGACGTCGCACGAGCACAGTAAGCACAATCCCAAACATTTGGCACTCCGATACAGCCCGCACCACAGACATCGCAACATGGAAGCGTGGGCCAACCCGCGAGTGCGGCCAATGATGGCGTCGTCCGCCACGACGGAGACGACGACCATGGCATGACATACCCTGAAGCGACGAATGCGGTCAGGAGTCAGCCTCGAGTCACGATTTCTGTGCCGGCCGGCGAATCGACTCTACCGTCGCCGATGCCGCTGAAGCCGCAGCGTCCGCCATGCTTTGACCCGAGTCAACGGGGTGGTCCTACCGTTCAGGCATGGTTGTTCACGTTGAACGTTTTCTTCGAAGCCGACTACGTCTCGAAGTACAAGGTGAAAATCCGCTACGCCGTGTCGCTTCTGCGAGGACCCGCCATGGACTAGTGGCGTGTCATCGTCACGTAGCAGGTGGACTACGCGACTCTAACGACACGGGGAGGACAAACCGGACCCTGGGCGCCGTCTTATTTCGTGGAGGTTGTGAAACTATGAGCAGAGGAATGAATTGACTAAGTCAGAGTTGGGTACAAATACAACCCTAGCAAACTGTACCCCATATGTGCTACCCCACTATAGCCTACAAACATGCATCAGCTATAATAATCTGACACACCCCCATAGGCAAAGTGGGGGAGAACAAGGGGTCACAAGACCAGTCAAGCAAAGCAAAACAAGCTCAGGGTGGATCACAAAGTCACCACACAGTCCGAGCACAAGAGCAAGGCCAGAGGCCAGTTCACATGCAGGAGTAAAGACATATATATAAAACTAGACAAGCAAGAGCAGGTATATATATGTCAAAGTACAAGTAAAGTCAAGAAGAGAGCAAGTGAGGCAAGACAGGTACAAGACCCAGCTGGGTACAAAAGCGCTGATGGTCGCAAGGCGCAAGTGCCTTGGTGAACACATCAGCAGTGTTGGCCTCAGAGGCCACGTAAGCAAGTCGCAACTGACCACGCTGCTGCAGCTCACGAGCAAGGAAGTAGCGGAGAGCAATGTGCTTTGTTCTGTGCTCCAAGCGCTGCTCTCGACACAAGGCCAACATGGCCTTGTTGTCTACGTACAGCACTGGAGGAGAACGAGGCGGCTCTCCAAGGTCAGTCAGCAGGTAGGTGAGCCAGCGAAGCTCCTGTGCAGCCATGGCCCCGGCGTAGATCTCAGCCTCACAACTGGAGCCGAGAACCGAAGACGAGCGAGTAGACCGCCACGAGACAGAGCCGGAACCAAGGCTGAAGGTGTAACCCTGTGACGACCGCTGCGTAGCCTGGTCGTCAGCCCAAGAAGCGTCTGCGTGCCCAGTAAGGACCACTGGACTCCGCCCTCCAAGCACTAGCCCCATGCCCGACGTACTGCACAGGTAGCGCAATACCCTCTTCGCTGCAGCCATGTGCTCTGGTCGGTGTCTCCCAGGAGCAACATAGCGTGCAAGGATGCTCAGAGGGTATGCAAGGTCAGGTCGAGTGCAGGTCATCAGGTACATGAGGCAGCCAACAAGCTCTGCATACGGACCACTCGACTCTACGGACTCATCCGAAGGCAGAGCTGAGAGTGAGTGGCGAGTAGGCATAGGAGTGGCCTGAGGCGAGGAGTACGTGAAGCCGAAGCGCTGAAGGACCTGCTGCACCATGTGTGACTGAGTCAGGGTAATGGTGCGGCGTGCTCTGTCCCGAGTGATCTGCAAGCCAAGGTAGCTGCGCAGTTCACCCAGGTCTGTGCACGTGTGTCTCTTCAGCAGCTCGGACTTCACGTAGGCGAGTCCAGCAGTGTCCGCTGTGGCAAAGACCAAGTCGTCGACGTACACGAGGATGTAGAACGGCGGCAGGGAAGTGTCGGTGCGAAGAAACAGCGACGGGTCAGCAGTAGAAGGAGCAAACCCAAGAGCCGCAAGCGTAGTCCTCAGTGTGTCGTGCCACTCACGCGGTGCCTGGCGGAGACCGTAGACTGGCCGTCGGAGGCTCCACTGGGTGCCAGGAGGGAAAGTCCCAGTGAAGCCAGGCGGACGGCGCAGCCAGATCTCCTCGTGCAGGCTACCCTGCAGGAACGCAGTGCTGAAGTCGAGAGAGTGAAGCTCGTAGTCGCGCTGAGCGGCAATGTGCAGCAGCACCCGAAGAGTGGTCATCTTCGGGGTGGGAGAGAAGGTCTGAAAGTAGTCAACTCCCTGCCGCTGACTGAAGCCACGAGCCACGTAACGCGCCTTGAAGACAGGCGGCGAGCCCGGCGGCCGCTTCACCCTGAAGATCCACATGCCACTGACGATGTTCGCCCCAGGAGGGGGAACCGCGTCAACGTAGGTGCCTGTGGACTTCCAGGAAGCCATCTCTGCATCCATAGCTGCCTGCCACTGAGAGGAGTAGGGACCCTCTACGGCCTCCGCGTAAGAACGCGGAGTCGGGATGTCTAGTGCATCCGGGTCTCCCTCAGGGGCTAGCAGTACAGACGCGAGACGAGGTGAAGCAGCGGCTAGACACTGGAACTCCTCCTGCCTGTCCTCTAGGACGTCCGTGCCAAGGGCACACTCACCCCCGACGGACGGAGGACAGGCGGACTCAGACTCAGCGACAAGACGAGCAGCGTAGTCTAGACGACAGCGCGCAGCAAAGTCGACAAGCTCAGTGACAAGGGCAGACGCAGCAGACGACTCGAAGGAAGGGTCAGTGACAGTGGGAAAGGAAGCGAGGTCAGGGAAGAGAAACGGTAGCATGAGGCGGCTAAGGGTAGCGGAGGAAGGGGAGGAGTAGCGCGCAACTACAGCGTCGTACAAGGCCTGAGCGGTCTTGCACTGACTAAAGTGGGCACGCTCAGAGGAAGGGAGGTGGCGACGCACAGCAAGACGTGCAGCAGCATCGCGGGTCGCCCACTTGGAGCGAACGGCAGAGTCAGCATCAGCAGGCGGGGCAGGGACAGCGCCAGAGACAAAGTCAAAGAGAGAGACCTCATCTACCGCATCACACAGTAAGTACAGCTGCAGATCCTCGACCCAGACGGCAAAGTCAATGGCCCTCCCCTCAGCGTCAAAAGTGAGAACATTGGGGGTAGCCATAGCAGCAGCTGAAAGTCTCACCGGGATGGGAGAGTC